TGAATAAGGAAAATGTAATGTCTACATTATTAATGCCAAAAAGCAGCTGAGATGTGCCAAAAATTAAATTAATATAAGATGCAAATAATACAACATGCGTCTGACAGTCTGCGCATGCGTCTGACGCGCACGGCGAATCGTGTTCTCACCTGCGCGTGCTTTGCTTTTGCTTGCAATAATTTTGTTTGCGCACTTTGCGAACAGATTCGCCGTACGAATTCGTGCAAAGGAGACGAGCCATAAGTAATTGCGCTCAAAAATATTCAATTTGCAGTCGTTTTGCCTTACTATACTAAGTCACAATACAAAAAAAATTACTTATTCAAAAAATTATTTAGAAGTTTCATTGTGTCAAAAATTCAATTTGGAATTAGGCTCATCTTACTCTCAAGTTCAAAAGTGAAAACAATTTAGACTCCTTTGCACTACCCGGGGGGATGCCATTTCTTTTCAGTGGTGTAATAACGTTGGGTGTGGATAAAAGAACTAATTATAAGAGAAAAATGTTTAATAATGTTTTTCAAAAAAGCAAATACTTTTCAAGTTACTGGCTACTGAAAATTTGTTTCTTTTTTGCGTTTTTCATCGTTTTTTGCTCATATCTTCAAAAATATACATTTTAACGAAAATCATATAATGAACAAAATTATATCAATAAAAATCCTAATAAATCGCTATTTTACAGTGTTCTAGGAACAATATTAAGTTAATTATGAAAATGGGTTTTTATAGTTCTCAAAATAAGCTTTAAAAGAAGTACTTCTGCGTGTAAATTGAGTGAGCTATCATGCATTTAAAAGATGCATACAATGTTTTTTTTTCATTTAAATCAAATAGTTTATGAGTGCCATTTCCACCAAAATTAAAAATAATCGTTTTCTATCTAGAATTAACTTGGTTTGAGATATCTTGATGGATTCTTGAAAATACCATAACATTAATACAAACGATTTTCAAAAAACTCATGATTTCATAAAAAAATCCATTTAAAAAAACAACCAATTTTTCATTATAATATCTCTGAAAGAATACGTATAAAAGTATATATATATGAAAATTCAAGGTATTTTTCAGACTAATTATTGCTTTTTATTATTTTATGTTGCACAAATATTGATAGAGTTCTAATTGTTTAAAGAGTGCGCGGCTGTCTAACCGGAGTGTCTTTCGATCCCTTTAACCCTTCTCCGTTTCAAAATAAGAGAAGTTACGGTAAAATTTATAATAGAGAAAGTAGCTCTTTTAATCACCTTTAAAATAGTATATTACAAGTTCTGATATAATCAGAATTAAAAGAGTTATAATCCAATTAATGCGTGGTGTGGTGATGAAATGCAAATTGTTTTCACTTCTGAACTTTAGATTAAGATTAGCTGGGCATACGCTTTTTTCCTCTCCATTTACTGCAATAATTTTGTTGATGGTAGGTTGAATAGAGCACAGGTGAACAAAATTTGACAAATTAATTCACTTCAAATATGATCTTAAGTAATAATGTATATAGAATTATTAGTGTGAAAAATTCAATTTAGATATTAAAATACTAAAAACCAGTTAAAATATGGTACGAAATTATAAAAATTGTAGGCAACATTATTGAAGCAATTATTTTGGGTAGAAAAATCCAAGGTGGTATTGTATTTTGACCGCATGCTATATATTAATTCTTTCTGAATTTGTTATATGTAAAATATTGCAGACGATAATTTTACAAGAACAAGAGTATATAAAATACCTTTTGAAGCAAATAATGAGACAATTGCATTGCATCTATCTAAATACGAAAAGGTTAAAAACATTCAGAACAAATATATAAGTAGCCCTAAACGGAATGCAGATGAAGCGAATAATTTTTTTTAACAGAAACAAGATTGGTGGACATGATTCTTGAAAAAACCATTTCATCCTTTCTTCATATTAGTGGCGAAAAGCGTTAATTACATATTATAACCAATCAAAAACATGTGCATACTGTTTTGAAACAACGCACATAATCAGCCAATGCGAAGAAAGAAAAAAACAACGAAAATAAGAAAAAAATGTACAGCGAAAAAACAGGGAATAAAGATGAAGAGAAATATTATTGCAATACATAGAAATTGTACTAAAAGTTAACCTAGATATAGCAAACATAAATCAAAATATAGTAATAGAACAAAACGATGAGCCGATGAATATGGACATTATTGCAGAATGTATGAATATAGAAAATGATCCGAATTCCGCAATGCAGATATTGACAAAATTGAATACAAAATAGTTCAGAAAAAAGCCACCGGGCAGAAAGTAAGGAGTTTAATTTGAAGAGACACTATGATACAAATCACAAGTCAAAAATCGATTGTTATAATGAGAAATAAAAATCGACAAATTGTTATCTTTAAAATTGAAACTTCAAGGTCAACAGTGGATGTTTAATAAAGCTAATATAGAGAGCGGAAATGTCTGGAAATCAAGTTTTGTTATTGCATTAGAGATCGCAAAAATCAAAACCTTTCACTAATGGTGATTTTATTAAAGAATGTATGTTGAAAATTGCCGATGTTTCATTTCCGTCTCAAAAGTCAATAATTCAAAATATTTCGCTCTCGAAAAACACTATTTCTTCAAGAACAAATGAGTTAGCTGGTAATTTAGTTCTTCAACTGAAAGAGAAAATTAAGAAATTCACATCTGTTGAACAAAAATTAAGTAGAATTAAGGTCATACACTCTTTTTAACATTGCAGCTCTTAAAAATTATATCACCATATTCACTTGCCAAATTGTTAAGAAATTTTTTAAACTCACGGTGATTCACGGTGACTTTATGAAATTTATTAATTTAATTACTGGTGCTGAGACATGGGGTCAAGTTAATTTCTTTGCATACAAACTTTCTTGATGAATTATGCAAAGGTTAACAAATGTTTCTTCTTCTGTGGCTTTCTCAATATCTTGGAAAAGCTTTCCCGCTTTCATACTTGACTGCTGATGCCCCATTTGTTGATATACTAACAATCTTTTCTAATGAAATTGAAAATTCTTCCAAAACAGACTTTAGTTTTTCTTGAAGGTCTTCACCAGTTGTAGTTTGTAGTCCGGTATTGGTATTGGTACCAGAGAACACAACTCATCAGTAATATCAAATTTAGTGTCAACACCACGTATAAATATAGAGCAAGTAGTGCTGTATCGCTAATGGCACAACTTTCATCAAAGAACAGTATTCAAATTGAGCAATGCGTTCACGAAGCGTTGTTGATATATTCTCTGATAAGTGATCAATTCTTTTTGCAACCGTGAACCTGGGTAAACTAATATTTCATATTAAGTTAATAAGGTAATGCTATTCCTGCAACAGCAGTCAGATAATCATTTATCATATCTCAATCCGCAAAAGGTTTCATTTTTTTGCCAATATTTGACTGACAAAAAAAAAACTAGCCTTTACAGCTGTATGTAATGAAATATCTTGATTTTTAAAAATAGCATGTTGTTTTTCCTCTTGATTGAGCTTATCTGTCCGGAGCTGTCCAGAAATTTTTTATATTTATCTTCATGTTTTGTTTTGTAGTGCCTTTTTATGTTATATTCTTTTAATGCTGATACGTTCTCCGACAATGCAGCATTATCCTTAACGATAGTGAAAAAATAATCAAATTTCCATCTTTCTTGGAAATTTCTGTGCTCATCAGAAATGTTTCTCCAATTATTCAAATCGGTTTATCCGTATTCCCGAAATCATCGACGAAAATTTGTATCCGCATACACACGCACACATACATCCATTTTTTCTAAGGTATTCAAAAATGTTCAGAAACCTTTGAAACGTCAAGCAAGATATATAAAAAATTTCATTTTCGATTTTTTTGCGATTACTGTTGCCCTACGGGAAGTTAAATATAATGGCAAAGCAGCCGTGTTTGCCACCTATATATATTTATATTTTTTAACTTCCCGTAGGGTAGATATAGTAATGAGCCGAAAATCATAAATGAAAATTTTTGCATTTCTCGACGTTTTGAAGGTTTCTGAACATTTTGGCATATCCCAGAAAAAATAAATATTTATGTGTGTGTTTTGTATGTCCGCATTTTTTCGTCCACGTTTTCAGGCGCACGGATCAACAGATTTGAATAGTTCAAAAAACATTCGATTCCTATTGATAGGTGATGTGCTGATTAGTTTTTGGCAAAGGCAGCCATTACGGAGATACGGATATAAGGTCTATGTTAAGCACGTAAAGGTGCCGATACACTGTAGAGAAATATCTAGGTAGAGTGTAGACTCTCTTGCTAGTGCGCTCTACCGTTGTCTGTACACTGTAAAGTGTTTTTTTCTTCCGAGAGCTCTTTCGTACTCTAGGAGAGAAGTAGGTGAAAGGTGCTAGAGCAACTCTACCGAGACACTCTAAAAAGCTATGTAGACTTGTGGCTATATATATTATATATATTAATCTAGATAGAGTGTAACTTTGACAAGTAGACTATAGAAGTGAACTTCGTATTTGAGGTTAAGGTGCCGATACAGTTCTTGTGAGACAATTGACAATTTTATTAGTGTATAGTTATTATAATAAAGCTATGTACACTTGTGGAAAAATATATTAATAAATATTAATCTTGGTAGAGTGTAACTTTGACAAGTAGACTATAGAAGTGATATATATAGAAGTGAACTTCGTATTTCAGGTTAGTTCTTGTGAGACAATTGACAATTTTATTAGTGCATATTAGTTAGTGTATAGTTATTATAATAAAGCTATGTACACCTGTGGAAAAATATATTAATAAATATTAATCTTGGTAGAGTGTAACTTTGACAATTAGACTATAGAAGTGATATATATAGAAGTGAACTTCGTATTTCAGGTTAGTTCTTGTGAGACAATTGACAATTTTATTAGTGTATATTAGTTAGTGTATAGTTATTATAATGAGTTCCCGGCGAAAACAAGGTTTAGCAGCATTGGTGGTATATAGTTTAGTTAAAAAAAGAAATAAGACAGTAAAAAAAAAAATGTGGGTTAGGGAATGGATTGCCAAAAGAGAAGAAGAGGGAGTTTATGCAAAATTGTTAAAAGAACTCGAGTATCAAGACGTAAGTTCTTATGAAAATTTTATAAGAATGACCCATCAGGATTTTCAGCATTTGCTGGAACGAATTGCTCCAAGAATTAGAAAACAAGATACTCACCTCAGAAAATCAATATCACCATCTGAGCGGTTAACTCTGACACTGAGATTTCTTGCTACTGGTAAGTGGTATAAAACAATTATTTAAAATAATACAAAAACATTTTTTTTTTACTATTTATTTATAAAAATTGTACCAATATTAATTGTAAATAAATTCTATTATAGGTGACAGTTATCAGTCATTAAGTTATTTGTTTCGGATTCCACCAACAACTATTTCTCGCATTGTTCCGGAGGTGTGTGATGCTCTGTACTTGGAATTGAAAAATGATTATTTGAAGGTATGAGAAAATGTTACATTTTGTCATAATATTGCGTTAAAGTAGTCTCGTTTTGCGTTGGAGAAATTATCTGGCATATTACTGGAGTGCTCGATGAACCGGAGTACTCACTCAAATTACTTAGAGACAGCATAGACTGTGAACTGGGGGAGGATACTCCTCGCATGTTGACTTCCTCATGTGCGTCTAAAATAGCTCTCTGAATCTTAAGTTTTAATTTATTTCGGATATCTTCAGAGGGTATTACTTTCAACTCTGCAGTAACAAACTCTCCAAATACGTCCAAGTGACCTTTCGGAGCTCGTAAACAAGCTAAAGCTTCATTCAGCAACTCATCATCCTTTTTAACTGAATCGGGTGCCCGTTTTTTATTTTTATGAGGTTTTGTAACAGGAGTCTGCCAAGACCCAGAGTTATCTTTCATTTCCTCATCATGATGGTCCTAAAAAAAATTAAAATAATAAATGAAAATTAAATGTTTTGTTCTTTTTTTTACAGATTCCTTGTACATCAGAGGAGTGGGAAAATGAAGCAAAGCGATTTGATGCTACTTGGAACTTTCCAAATTGCATAGGAGCTATTGATGGAAAACATGTGGTAATGAAGGCACCAGAAGACTCAGGAAGTCTATATTATAATTACAAGGGGACACTTAGCATTGTATTAATGGCTCTAGTGAATGCTGATTACAAATTTTTGTATATAGAAGTAGGTTGTAATGGGAGAGTGTCAGACGGGGGTGTATATGCAAATTGTTCACTATCGGCGTGTTTGGAAAACAAGTCATTGAATATACCCGAAGCAAAACCATTACGTTTCCAGTCAGTTCCGGTGCCATATGTCATTGTTGCCGATGACGCTTTTCCATTAAAAACCTACATTATGAAACCATTCCCTTTTAGAGACCAACCTGTTGAAAATCGCGTTTTTAATTATAGACTTTCTCGAGCACGTCGAGTGGTAGAAAATGCATTTGGTTTGCTTTCGATGCGTTTTCGTTTTCTTAGAAAGCCAGTCGAACTATGCCCTCAGAAAGTAATAAAGCTAGTTCAAGCTGCTTGTGTGCTACATAATTATCTAATTGAAAAAAAGTCGACCAAATATGTTTCTGAAGGTACTGTAGACATGGAAAAAATGGCAGGCTTATTGAAGGTTGTTGGCGAGATGACCCACTTCCACAAAATTCATTTTATTCATTACAACATACAGGCGCGAGAAATCCAACATGCACAGCTAAGCAAGTACGCGAAAATTTTAGAACGTATTTTATGTCCAGAGCAGGTGAACTACCGTGGCAATATAAATATGTTTGATTTTTTTATTTATTAATTTATATCTTGTTTTGTCATTAGATTTTTGTTATATGAATGTCAAATGTATCCTACAATAAAAAATTTAAATCACAATATGAATTTACTTTATTTACTTACCAGCACATCTGTAATAATAACATCAGGGGCACTGCCAACACTGGCAATTGAATCCTCTGTTGAATTTATCTGGATATTCATAAACTTGACAGCCTCAAAAAACTCCCACTTCGGTTTATACCTTTCATCTGCGCCCTGACCACTTTTGAACTTTTTCATTTTTCTCAGATGCTCATTTAACTGGCATCTCAAATTATGAATTTTGTCTTTTACTGTTTTAACATCCAAATTTAAAGACGTTGCTATCGTTTCCAAGGACTGATGTTTAAGGTTTCGATTCCTATACTCCTTCAACCTGATATTCCACAATTCTGGACGAGCCTCTACCAATTCAATTAATTGAAACACTTTATTTCTCTCCCAAACAAACTTTTCGCACTGTTCTTCATCATATAATGCTTCCATTTTCCAAAATCAAAAAAAAAAAACAACTTTTCTTTTTCAAATAAACACGAATCTGTCTGTAGGCTTGATACTCGCCAAATAAACACATGGATAAATAACCTAACCATACATAACCTAGCAAAGCAAAACACAAAAAACTATACGTATAGACCAAAAAAATATCCAACAAGTTGAATAATGCTAGAGTTAGCCGCTAGAGCGTGGAAGTTGTGCAGAGACGCCTGTGTACACTGTATATCATTTGCCTAGCGAGCTTGTCTACGGAGAGCGTAGACTGACTCCCGCTAGAGTGCTCTAGTAGCTGTGTACACTATGGGACTCAACATAGAGCGCTCTATTGGAGCTCTAGTTAGAGCGACTCTAGCCAAAAACTCTACAGTGTATCGGCACCTTAACATATGACATTTAATCAATCGGGAGAGTTTCTCGATTGTCGGCAATGTTCGCTCAGCAAGTGACGTCATAGTCCTTTCTATGTACGAGCACTATATGCAACGGAAAATATATGACAACTAGCAGTCCATGTAGTGTAATGTCTATGTTAAAATATAATGTTATTTAACCTCAAAGAATATCTTTACAACAAGACATCGCGCAACTAAATAACTGGTGCATAAGTAATAAACTTAAATTAAATGTTAAACAATGCGCAGTAATGATACTATTTCGATCCCATAATTCGCATGAATGAGCATGAATGTGTACAAAGGTGAGTCATTTCATTACATTAATTACATCAATGTTAATGTACATTATGAAGTTAAGGCAACTTAGAAAAAATAGAATTGAAGGAACTCATATTAAGATTGGATTCAAAATTCAATCTTAAGTTTGAACAGCTGAGTGCCACCATTAACAGCAAGCACCAAGCTTTAATGGACAGTATTAATAAGCAGTGCTGCCAGTGTTAAAAAAAGGATGATTCGCCTGATTATTGGCTCCGACTATTGGCAGCGCCAGACTAAATGTATACCACGTGCGAACTAGTTGGGGCTGTCAGTGCGTGCTTTACATTTGTTTATAGATGTTTTTAAAGAAAAAAAATTAATGAAGAAATATTATTAATAAGTTACAACACGAAAGAAAAAGTTGAATAGGTAATGTAATTTTTAAATTTACTTGAACGTACTTAAAACAAAGGTAAGTATGATAAAATAAATAAAGAAATGCCGTAAACATTTATAAGGTTAAGTTGTGTAAAAATTATGGAATTATTAGGAATAGTCCTAATAATAAATTATAATAATGACAAAAATATGTTTTCAATAGATTAAGTAAATAATATATTTACTAGTTTTTTTTTATTATTTGGGCATGGACATTATATAAAGGCAGGATTTGAGTCCATTACCCATCAAATAAAGTTCCAGTCGGAAACAATGACCAAAGGTAAAAAACTTGTTGATGCTAGACTTGTGAGAGAAGTCGAGGAACATCGACAAAACTTTTGAAGTTTTTTAATAAAATCTCGAATTATTTGACAAGCATCAGTCCATGCTACACCATATGCTACATCTGTAGACGTAATGCACCTTTAGATAATTCATTTCTTATATTATATAAATATTTAATTATAATATAATTATTTCTAATTATTATATTATTATTATATTGTTTTATTATATTTTTAGATAAACTCTGAACGTTGTGTGGCAAGTATAAACACGTTGCAGCGTTAATTTATTTTATTAACAGTGAACAGAGTATTTCGAGAACGAGTCATGAGCAGCAGTGTGGTAAGCCGGGCGCTTGTAAATTTGCTAAGCTTAATTATTCTAAAGCAGCATATTTCAAAAAAAAGGGTGCCGCCTAAATACACTCAATTACATGAGCCCCAAAATGTTTTAATTACTGAGTTGACAGTCGATTCACCTTTAAAACAAATTATGGAAGCACAGTTGAAAAAAAAAATGAACATACGGTAAGAAATGCGATTAACTCTCTTTTCTCACAAGTTGAAATGAATTTAGAGAAAGAAGATTGTGCTGCATGTGTAGAAAAGTTTTTAAATTTTTGCGAGAAATTTTCTATTTATCAAACTGAATATAATTTGGATCCGATTCTCTGGGAGTTTTTTTGTTAAGAATGTTCAATTATCAGATGAATTCAGCTGTCTTCTGAAACTGTTAGACAGTCTTCCTGCAACAATTGGTTTCAAGCCAGGCGCTTAAGAATTTCTGCAAGTTGTAATGTACATAATATAAAAGTTCTAAGTAGGAAACCAGTCGAAAAGTTGGTATCAGACATGCTACATCTATCCAAAATTGACAGCAGCTCTACAAAATATGGTCTAAATATGGAAAGTTGTGCTAAAGAAAAATATGAACAAATTTACAAGTGTACTGTTAAACGGGTTGGTGTAATTGTTAGTAAATACCAGCATTGACTTTGTGCAAGTCTTGAAGGAGTAGTCATTGATGACGGTTGCATTTCTAAAATTGTAGAATTCAAATGTCCTAGATCTTGTAAAAAAAAAACAGTTGTCAATTATGCTACTCAAGTTAACAACGTTAAGTATTTGGAATTTGTCCATGATAACTTGGAGCTCAAAAAGTCTCACATTTATTACACCCAAGTTCAAGTACAAATGTACGTCACTGGTATGAGTGTTTGTGATCTTTTTGTTTTTTCGCCAATTGAAGATGGTTGCTGTTTAATAGAAGTTCACAGAGACGAAAAGTTTTTAAAAAGTGTTATTTTGAAGAGCGAAAAATTCTATTTTGAACAATATTTGCCAGCTTTGTTCGCACATTTATATAATTTCATACAAATATGAATTTGCATTTGTACAATAGTGGTTATCAATATTAAAACAAAAGCTTTGTTCGCACATTCATATAATTTCATACATTAAATTCATTTCATACATTTCATTAAAACAATATTATTGTTATTTTTCAGCATCTTTTTTGCTAGAAATTATTGGAGGCTGTAAATTCACCAGAACACAACATATTGCTCATTTTTAATTATCTTACTTAAATTTGAAATAAACAAATATGTTATGTGTTTTTGTTTAAAATTTCGGTTATAACAACCCCAATTAGTGCTCCAAGTTAGCCACTACGAATGCTTCGATCGATTTGACTTTCCTTTCCATGTCTTCCCACTGGCCAATACGATGGCAGTGTGTAATAAATTTGTGCAAACAGAAGGAGAGCAAAAGATAAAATAGCAGACATGGCGGATAAAATCGCCGATATATCGTTGGAGCACCAAATCCAAGCAATTAGTAAACAAATGCCATCTACGTCCGAAGAAACGAATAAGGCCATTTCAGAACAAATTTTAGAGCTTCAAAACCAGAATGCTACATTAAATTCGAAGATTGACTTGTTAGCTAAACAAGTTGAAACCCTCACCCAAGCCAAGTCCGAACCTTACCATCGAGGTCGAAAGTCGTGCATCCATCTCTACGTGGCTATTGCCAGTACCACTCAAGATTAGGAGCTAAAGCACGGAAGTGTAATGAACCTTGTTCATTTAAATCTTCAAACATAAACGACAGTCAATGAATGCGGCGCATGACTGTCAATTAATTAGGTCAACAAGCCGCCTATTAGGGTTGACAAAGCATCCAAACAAGAATTCTTAGTCGACACGAGCGCGGATCTTTGGGTATACCCTCGCAGAAAACTGAAAGGGCAGCATCCGCGTTCCGAATATACGTGTATACGGCAAATGGTGCAAAAATGGCGACCTATGGGACAGTGTAGCTAATTTTGAACTTCAGCCTAAGACGCAATTTTTCTTGGAGGTTTGTGATAGTCGACGTCGAAAAACCCATCATTGGAGCAGATTTCCTATCATTCTATAACCTGTTCGTAAATCTGCGCAACAAATGACTCCTAGTGGGAGATACAAAAGCACAAATGACGGGAAAAGTAAAGGATGCAGTCGTCCCAACTGTTAAAACCCTGCGAAAGGAGCACCACAGCCTATTGCAAGAATTTCCGGATATTACCAGACCTCAAGAAGCACCTCACACAGTGAAGAACCGAGTATTGCTGCGCTGTGGTTTTATACCATAGGATAACGGTGCATGACAGGGACGCGCAACCTGACGTGGTGCGGCAGGGCTGCGCAACCTTATCCTATATATATGTATAGGCATAAATGTATAAAGCAATCCATAATTTTTTATACCAGGCACCCCCACCTACCTGAGAATAGGATATATCAAATGTTTATATTGCTAAATAAATAAATAACAAAACATGTACTTCGTTTTAATCCTTAAGTAATAAGTGACTTAATCGATTTCATCAATTGTTGTACTATTTAAAAATCTTATTTTTTGGGTGAAATGGCTTATATTAATTTCAGATGCAAGCTTGAAAATACAAGAGGCTAAACAATCTGCTCAAATTGTTAGCGGTAGGTTTCATTAATATTTTGGGTTTTAATGTCCATGAAATTGTTAGATACCTAAAAATAATTTTATTGTCATGATAAGTTTAAATTTGTATTATTAATTCAATTTTTACCTACGTAATGGTAAATATTTGGAAACCGAAACAGATGATCCTGAAACTTCACAATCTCTTTTAAATGGCGATGGAAGTATTGATAAATCCGTGAGAATTGCAAGTGAAGAATCAGGTAATTTTAATAAGGACAAAACAAAATCGATTAATATGCATACAATTTAACAGCCAATTGTTTATTACAGCGTTTATATGGCCCCACGAAGCTATTCTTTTACTTCTTGATGAATGTGAAAAACGACAAATGGATTTTATTAGTGGGAAAATGTCGCAAAAAAAATTGTGGCTGGATATTAGTGCTGAACTGAAATCTCACGGATATATCATCAGTGTTTATCGAAGTTTTCAGAAAAAGACTTATAAAAAAAACAAAAGACCACAATAATAAGTCTGGAAATTCTTCTAAACATTGGCCATATCTGACTGTAAGGGTAACTGTTTATATTTCCAGAAAACCATAATTTTTGAATTTTTTAATTTTGTAAGTTAATGGATAATCTGATGGGTGATAAACCTTCAATTACACCTGTATCTGTTTGCTCTTCTACTGGAAAAAAGGACTTTATCCGAAAGTAGTTGCGGGAGTCGAAGTAGCAGTAGCAGTAATATGGATATTGAAGCAAACCGTAAAAATATTTAATTTGTTTTGAAGATTTCTCTTCGCTAATAAGAATATAATTTTTTTTTGGTAGGAAAAAAAGCAAAAAGTACCCCCGCTAGTGATTTAATTGCTACCTTTGAAGATAGGTTAAGGATAAGCGAACAAAATAAGGAGCGTCGCTTCAGAGAATTCATGGCATTTAAAGAACAAAAAGCTGAAGAGTCATAGTACCCCCCCCCCCCGAAATAGACGTTTGACGGCTATTTGTCAAAAGAAAAGTTAATTTTACGTCATAAGTTAAACGTAACTTTCTTTTTAGGGGTCTTTTTAGTAGATTTCGTTGCTGATAGTCTGTGATGTGAATTCGAATCTGATTCACAATCAGTATCTGATTTGTTTTAATCTCTCTACAGTGAAGTTCTTTTCAGTGCCATTTATGCGGAGTTTGAAGTTTCGATCAGTAACTCGCTCTAGAATTTCATATGGCTCACTGTAAGGTGGCCAAAATTTTTTTTCCGAAAATTTTTTGGCCAAATTTTTTTTGACAATAATTACTGAAAATTTCAAGCTAGCAACAACTAATGCTGGGAAGAATTTGCAACAAATCTTGTTGTGAAATATAAGTCAAAGATTTGGTTAATTAGAAAATGATAAAATTACAGCAAAAGCAACAATTCTTGACCCCAGATATAAGAAAAAGGCCTTTCGATTAGAGAGTTCTGCGGATAAAGCAATTGCTTTGGTTTTAGATGAAGCAAAAGAAATGACTACGGCAGAACATATTGAAGAGGAAAATTATGAACCATTATCAGTACCGTCAAACCATAATATAGATAATGAAATCTGGGAAAATTTTGATATGCGTGTGGTTCAGACAATAGAACAAACTCTTCCCAAATGATTGCAAGAATATATGAATTTGCCATATTTGAATAGAAAGCAAGATCCTGTTCAGTTTTGGGAGGAAAGAAAAAACATATATCCTGCTTTATATAAAATGGGGAAAAAATATTTATGTATACCGGCAACATCCGTTCCGTCAGAGCGCTTATATTTGAAGGCTGGCACATAATCAACGACGGAATAGGTTACAACCAAATAATTTAAATCAACTATTATTCCTACAACGACGATACAGTTTTCATGGAGTCGTCAATTCCAGTTCCAAGCAAAACAACACGCTACACTGGTGATATTTGTACTTCAAACATAAGGACACCGAATTCAGCAAGAAAATTTGTCGAGATTTTGAAGAAATGGATTACTGTGAAAAACAAAACCATTTATAAACTCAAGAGACAACTTAAAAACAAAAGTAAGCATATCAACAATTTACGTGATGCTGTGAACTCTGAATATGACATTTCTTAGTAATTCTGATGCTGTGCAGCATAACACTGTAAGTGAAATGTTATCACCATAGACATTATATTACACATATTGTATTTGTAAGGTAAGTGTTTATGACAGATAATTTTCTCTATTACTAAAGGAACATACTATAATGTATGTGTGAAGTTAAGCAACTAAATAAAATCAGGTAAAATTTCATACATCTTTTGGTACACTCATTTAAATTACACCTAATTTTTTTAAGTACAATATGCCTGCTGTACTCGGTGATTTGAATCACAGAACCTTCGAAGCAAAACGAACAAAATATGAGCCTGAAATTCGAAAATTTGCGATGACGCTACAGTTTTACTCGAGTAGGGCCTATGATTTCGTTCGTCAAAAATTCGGAAATTTATTGCCTGCGCCGTCGACAATTCGACAGGGGCTGTGCGTATTGGATTCGACTCCGGGATTCAATAGAAGTATTTTGGAAAGACTTAAAATTTATTCTGAAACAACAGATAAACCACTTGTTTGCAATTTCATCATTGACCAAATTGCACTCAAGCCCAGCTTATTTTCTTATTACCAAATTGAATGGAGTTGAATATTCTAACCTTGTACAACCCTAAATTATCTTTAAAATTATCCATTTTAACAAGTAAGTTCAGTTGATTTTTCTTGTTTTCTTCATATATAATATGTTGAAGATAGTAAGTGAAACAACCTACATATCATAAAAATGCTATATATTACAGATAAATAAAAAACAATTTTTAAATTTCTATTATTACCCAATAATTGTGTTTAATGAGTCTCCAGGATGTAGCACTAGCGACGAAGCGCCCTTATGTGCCACACTGTCAAAGGGGGGTAGATTATTTGAGTCCTGTCGTTTGTGAACGGGGAACATAACCAGTCTCTTACAGGATCGCGACGTCACGGTAATGTTGTAGAAAGACCGCGAATGTACAAACAATAATAACAAATTAGAGCATGAATTAAGGAGTATAGCAGTAAATGAAAAGGGGATTCACGACAAATAAATGGGTTCATAACAATGGTGACAAGCGCCCGGGAAATGCTTTTCGTTGGTTTAACGATCAAATGATTAAAAAGTATTAATTTCTTTTGGCAATCATTTGATCCCCCATCGACGGCATTATTACGATCTCGGTAATATAATTTTATTGTTAGTTCATTCGCGGGTTTTTTTCTTTCGTGTAAGTTTACAGTTTCTTCGTTCTATTTTTTATTTTGTTATTCATCAATTTCTGGTTTCGATTTGATTTTTCGCGAAGATTCGGCATTTCTTGATTACGCGAGTATTAAATTGGTACATATGAAATGATTTGTTGAACTCTTGGTTACCATAGTTGAATATACAGAAGATTGTTGGAACACTTAAAATTGTGAAAATATAGAGCAATTTGAAATGATGTTTAGCGGTATATATAAATTGAAATGTTGTTGTGGGATCAAAAGGTTTTTCTATGAATTTTGGGGCTATTGCAAACGTAATTTGCAAAATTGGTTAGCGCGAAAATGAATAATCAAGTAGTTCAAGTAATTGTTAGAATTTTGATTTGTTGATTTGAAAATGTATTTAATTTGTAAAATTTAAAGGTTGTTTCATAATAATTTTGAAATGCTGAATCTATTTGTTATATTTGTATTTTTGTTCGTTAACGTTTTTTTTTTGTTCAGTCGCGCGGGCTTTTTTTTTTGTTGATTTCGGTTTTCGCGAAAGGCTTTTGTTCGTGTACAATTAGATACGTTTTTCCTAGGTTAATTATAATTACCATCATTTTAAACTAAGATTATTTTAATATAAATTTTAAATTCAAAATTATTATACTTAGTGTATAGAAAAATGTTGTTCTATACAGATTTAGATTTTTTTTATTACGAACATTGTTAGGATTGTTTAACGTATTCAGTTATTTATAATCATTTTCGTAAACACCAATACATAAAATGTTGTTAATAAATGTTGTTAATACATAAAATCTATGATAATTGCCAGATACATGTTAAGTTTTATTTCGTGGAAATCGTTTTTCTGAGTAGGTTTCCGTTTTTTTTATGTAGTCGTAAATATCTGCAAGTTGTTTCAAAATCTCATATTGCAAGGGTAAGATCATCGAAGTTATTTTCTCTTCGAATTCGAATTTAGAACTGACACAACAAAACGAAGTTTGGTAAATATATACTTATTCAAAATGGATCGTATAATGAGTATGTACTAATGATATGCTGTTTTTATTTTAAGAAAACACGGCTTGCGCGTAATGGCGGACATTGTCCAAGAGTGGCAACTGTTTCATTATGCAAGACTATATTTATTGATGTGGTTGCCAAGGAGTACAACCGGGGCGGGAACAAAGGAAAGAAGAATTTTTCAATCTGCTGTTTGTTAAATTGATAAAAGGTAATAATGATGTTCTTATAATAGTAAATAATGAAACTCTTTACCTAAAATATTTGTATTATTTTTTTAAATCAACAATGATTTCAGAGATTGTAGTTGAAATGGTTTTCAAGGAAATTAAAGTGTCGGATGCTCAGGTAAGAGACTACAATAGAGGATGACTTCATCACGCACAGGACCGGTACACCAGGAATGAAGAGAAGACCAGAGAAGAAAGGATTAGTTTTTAAGTTTAGTTAAGTTTGTTGGAATATTTAAGTTTACTGTAATATTTAGTTAAGTTTATTGTAATATTATAGTTAAGTTTTTTATTGTATTATTTTGTTAGGTTTATTGTATTATTTTATTAGTTTAAGTTTATTATATACTTGTATATTGATTGTAAGATTTTCATAAAATATGATTTTGATAAAATAAAACAGTAAAATGCTTAGATTTTTTCATGAAAATAAATATTATTTTAAACTAGAATTGCATTTTTAATTCATTAGATATTCATTTCAGATTATTTAATTCATTAAAAAAAAATATTCACGTTCCACTTCTAACCCATTTGCCAAATTTGATCGAACGGTGTTCAACCCATTTACCAAATTTTTGACCTATTATCAAAATATTTTCAATGTGTGTGCCAAATCTTGATCCCCAATGGAACTTTTCTCAATCCATAATATATGCTAATAAGGTTGACTAATATCGCAACCGGGTTCGGACTTTAGGTTCATTTCTGTGCGGAGATTGACCAAAATACACGTATGTGGTGCGACGAAAGTTTAACCGATCGACCTAAATGTCGAACCACAGGTCGCCCCTGACTCGCACTTGTGCTATGTGGGAAAGCAAACTTCAGTTCAATTGTCGAATACAATTGTTAACATTAAGTCAATAATTTTACACATTTTCAATTAAAATCAACTGATTCTTTATTTAATAATTATCTCCATCTTTGAAAACCATTTTCAAAAGTATATTTCATGTGTGTCAAGCAAATGAATTGAGTAAAAATGGCGGACGATGTTGAAGACCAAAAATTTTGTCGTGCATGTAATATTAAATTTAATGGAGAAAATATTATTGGATGCGAAGGAGGATGTGAAGGACGGTTTCATAAGAAGTGCGATAAAATTACTAATGAACTATCTAAAGTTTTAAGTGCATACACTAACTTAAAGTGGTTTTGTGACTCATACTCAAAAAAAGTGATGTTAGGATTCCATGTAAAAGTGACATTAAACAAATCCTCAACGAACTAAACATTATCAAGTGCAATCAAGATATAAGTGCAATCAAGAATACTAAAAGTAGCAATGCTACTGCATGTAAAAAAGATAGTCTAGATACTTTTAAAAATATTCCAGAAAATTAAAATCCAAATGTACCAGCTATATTTATCAAACCAAGAAAATTACAAAAAAATTACGAAACGAGACAATATATAGAAAGAAATGTAAATCCGAAAGACGTAAAGGCTAGAGTAAGATTAGTAAATAATACTAAGAATGGAGGATTGATAATTAAAGCTTCAACTACAGATGAAACAAAGGCACTAATGGATCACATGAAAGACAAAATAGGAAATGAATATGAAGTATACATTAAGAAACAGAGAAGCCCAAGACTGATAATTACGAACGCGACTAGAAAATATCGACGGTATGGAAATTTTGCAGGACATGATTGAATACAATCATAATATAAACGAAACAGACCAAATAAAGCTGACTTATCAAAGACAATCGAAAAAAACTGGAAAGTGGGATCACATATATAGAAAAATCTAGGGAAACCTTTTTAAAACTCACGGAAAACTATATACACTTGGGAAGGAAAATTGCTCATATTGTTGAGGACCTAAACATATTAAGATGTTTTGATATTACCAGACTCAACATTTAAGAAGAGTAATAAAGCAAATTTTGTAATCGACAACGACACCTTTTACAATAAAAACATAAAATTAGAGAACAATAAACCTGATTCGCATATTACTCAATTCGGCTTGAACGGGTACACGCATCCCGAGTCTTTTACACTTTATAATTCTGCCTCAAACCGAAAAACAAAATCTCACCCCTAATACTACGAGAATTACCTGGCGATTCAGTATAAAAATTCCTTTTGACAACAATAAATATCTGACACGTAATAAACATATTATGTTAAAGAGATTTAAATTTTTTGAATACTACTCACGATCAAACGATAAATTATCTAATGAATATTACGTGATTACCGAGGCAAATAAAATACTTTCATTACTAACAACTAAACAAAACTTAACAAAAGTTTTAGCGAACGATAAATTAAAATCTAACGATTCTAAAACTAATCATTTTAAACTTTTAGATAAACCTTATCTTTATTTTAACAAACGAACGGCTAAAACTCTAGATATATTTTGTAACATACTGATAGTTTTAGATTCAATAGGATAGTTTTAGCTAATAACGCCATAAATAAAACTATGATTAAAATACTTATTTCGGAAGCTACTGCTTCAATATGTTATGCTATAGATTTTTATCATTAACACAAATTTTATTAACCCATCTCTCTCTACCTGACATAATAAAATAATTTCCTACCCTACTGTAGGTACTAAGCTAGTTATAAGAAATTACTCATTCTGTACGTATACCTTGACCCGATCACATCTTATACAACTAACTAAAATTAAATACAAACAATTTCTGAACTAGTTATTTTTTATTCAGTGGTTTGTTATTTCAGATCTGATATAGCCTTTTTAAATAATTAATTAGATCTGGTCCTTCGAGGTAGTAAAGTGTCCGTGTGTAGTGATTTTCAATTGACTTTTTTAATAAACATTGCGCCGGGCGCTTACATGGGTTATTGTATTATAAATTTTGAAAATGACGGAAAATATTAAAATATATGCAGTGGTGGAATTTGATAAAACTAAAAACAATAAAAAAATGGTAGGTTCCAATTAGTTGGCTTAATGAGGATAATTCTAAGTGTTTATGGAAGAATAAGGTGATGAAGTGGGTGGAACTTGATGTCATACTTGACGAGGAGACATGGATAAAGTACCCAATCAAAATTATTAGCAAAGCTAGTGAGTATTTATGTACATCAAATACTTTAATTATAGTATTATCTCTCGAAATAAATTTTGCACAATTATTTTTACAATAAAAATAATTGTCCTCAATGTTGTTGAAATTGTGTAATATAATTTATTGACGTTTCAGAGGATTATGCCCAAGGATTACGTCGTTTAAAAAGATCATTTGAAACAAATGATATACAGACCACTGATAATGAATCAAACACCTGTTTTATTAAATTCTAAAAATGTCTCTTACTTATTATCGCAAAAACGGCCTTTGAATAACAACAATAATGATTTAAATAATTCAGAACTCTCTGAAGGTAAAGTTGAATTTAGTGCAAAAGCTGCAGTTGATAGTACAACGGAACCCAAAGGTATTTCTTATTTTTTACAGTATTAGATATTACATGATTCAGATAACAATTGAAATATCATTCAAGCCTTAGAAATTACGTGTGATTAATATTAATTGTTGCGATAAAATTTTTCTGATATTCTAAAATTAAAATTAAAAATAAAATTATTCTCACTCATATACTAAAAGTAAAATTACATTCACTCACACAGATTGTCTGAAAGCAAAATAACATATTCACGATTAGGGAATGCACTACCGATGGAAAATTTCAATAGCGGTAATTTTTCATATTAAAACCGGAATACCGGTGAATTACCGGTATTTTTATTATTTTAAACAAACGTAAACAAAATTGAAAGTTACTAGTACAAATATAAAAAATGTATATACAACTACAACTATATTCAACTATATAATAAAAACAATAATTTTTTTTTAAATAATAATTTAACAAAATTAATCGAATTTAATTAACTCATTATCACTATCGAGTATATTGAGTACTTTTCACCAAAAACAAACTTATGAGTATTACATTATTATAATAAACTGTATAATAATTGTTGAGTATTGTTATTTAAAACAATGTGATGCTTCTATAGTATTTTCAAACTTCAAAACGTTTTCGAAAAATAATATTTTTAAATTGTAATAAGAAGCAAAAATGTTTAGTAATATATAAAATATTTTGGCGCAAATATCACTTAAAAAACTGTTACATTTTTACATAAGAGGAAACAAATGTCATTATCTATCGGTCCAATTCTATTTGTGTAACACGCAATAAATATTCAGCTTAATGACGAGTTGAGATAATATTTTGACACTTGTTTATCCTATAGAATCACTTGAAGATATAGCTGTTTATGCGATTATAGAATTTAAAGATAAATTTGTTCCTAGAAATTTGAACTTTAATGTATAAAAAAAAAAATTTCGGCGATTTTCATGATTTTTTTTGGTGATAGATATCATAGTCTTCTAGATCATATTAAAATATTACGGCCCTATGACAAGTCGTTTAATTTTGAAAATCCGAGCCGTTTCTGTGTAATTTGGAAAAAAGTGTTAAACTTTTCGTCCACATTTAGACTCATACTACCGATTCGATTTTAAAAAAATCAAGAACTTTTCGAAAGATATTAGTTTATAGTTTTTTTTATAGTTTATAGTTTATAGTTTGGTGAAAAGTCTCAAACATAAAAAAATTTCACCTCTAAACGCTTTATTGTACGTTACATAATCATGAACATTATCACTCAACTTCTAAGTGACTTTGAACATGGGTAACGCGTATTTAAGCTAAAATATGAACAAACAAAACACAAAAAATTAAATATATATATATATATATATCGGAGATCATGAAACCGCAAGTGACGCGATCCGAGTTCATCCCAAGTTTGGAATGAAAGGAAAAATTAGATATGTTCAGTTGAGATCAACTGTAACATTTTAGATAATCAATGCATGTTTTCAGAATATGATGCACAATTTAATATCTTCGTTTTGGGCACCGTTAGAAGATCAAGAATAATAAATACAATGTCGACAGTTGCTGATAGATAATAGACTTGAATCAATCCTGTCCGTCAATGTGCGTCAAATTCTAATGTGGATCTGCAAAAAGGAAGAAGCGCAGTATCAAAGAAGAAATATACTATTAAATGAATTTGAATAAAAGATATTTTATATAGAAAGAGTTAGTAAAATTAATTAAATAATAAAATTTAGGGAAAAGAAGACATGAATGAGAAGCAGATGATTACTATATTATCATTGGTTAGCAAAGTATTGTTTAATATCAAAATTAACAAATTCTGAAATATCATAGAAATATTGAAATTTTAAGAATTTTACTATAGTATTGTGGAATTTATGATTATTTAATTTTCGTATGTGAAGTGGTAGTAAGTTAAAAAGTTGAATTCCAAATCCGTCAATTGAGTTAAAAGACGTTGCAAGTTTAAATACTGGTGCTTTAATAGTTAAGTTTCTTGTCTTGTAATGAGAATTCGACATTGAAGACAAATTGAAACGTTCGGGATTATTTTTTATAAACGATAAAGTAATGAGCAAAAATATACTGGGAACGGTAAGGATACTATGCTCACGAAAAATGTTTTTACATGAAGATAAAGAACTAATAGAAAAAATTATTCTCAAAGCTCTTTTTTGAAGTTTGAAAATGCGGTTAAGAGATGGAGAGAACGCCCCAAAACTGGATTCCATATGCGATGTGCGAGTAAAAATTGGAATAGTAAATTGAGAGAAGACAATTTAAACTAACCTTAGATTTAAGAACTCTTAACATAAAACACGTTTTTGTTAAATTAGGTCCCAATTTAAGTTTTTATGCAAGTTTTTAGTTGGGAATGATACTGATTAGTTTTAGGTGAATTTAAGCCGATTTCTATGGAACTTTTTTTGGTGATATATATCATATTCTTTTAGAACTTACTGAAATATTGCGGCCTTACGACAAGTAGTTTAATTTTGAAAATTCATCAAAATTTGAAAAAATAGGTTTTTTTGGCGTTTGTTAAAATTAAAATTAGACGATTTATTTGGTAAACGATAGAGTACTTAGACTTAATGATCATACTAAACCATTAAAGTCCCAAAAAAACTGGTTCAATTATAAAAATTATTGTTGTTTGAAAAGTTGCGTTTATAAAATACTCCGAGTACGTGTTCGTTCTTTTTCAATTAAGTGTTATGAATCCACTCGGAATACTTTTAATAATTCATAAAATTTGCCTCAAGGCAAAATACCAATACCAACTAGTTTATTGTACAATTTCTAGATATCCAAAACTATGAGCAACTGGTGCTATTTTTACAATTCATTTCGAAATACAATTCATCACAAAATGACGAAATTAAAAAAAAGCTTGCATTATACCATCGGACAGCAATTCAAAAAAAATGTTAGAAATTGTACAGCAGACAGGAGATGTCCCAAACAAGCAAAGAGCATGGAGTATGATCGGCGATGTCTTGCCCTGTGAAAATATTGAGTCGTTTCTAGCCTTCGAGAACTCCTTGAAAGAAGTCGAGGAAAAACGAAATGCATTGGTATTTAAAAATTATTTAGATATTTTCTACAAATAAAATATTCACAAGTCATTAATTATTACTTAAAATTTACAACAAAAAATGATATAAATATCATTTACAAATATGAATTATAATTTAATAAAGAATTTATTCTTATAGACCGGCGTATTTCAAATGGTTTCGGCGGGTTGTACTAAGTATGTAGTAGATGTCCACAAAATAATGGAGAAAATTTAAAAAAAAAAGAAGTTCAGCTAGAATATAGCGGGTGTGGACATAAAAGGCGAGGGAAAAAAAGTTTTAGAGAAACTATGGAGAGTAAGTCATTATTCTATTCAAATATTTATTTATATTAATTATTTTTAGTATTGTTATCATTATTATTATTGTTTATTATTGTTTCAGAATTCATTATGATTAAATATAAATCTTCACCAGAAGCAAAAAGTCCGGAGCAAAAGACAGAGAAGGTGGACGTGCTCAGCGGAAGTAATTATATATGTACTATTAATAATAAAATTCAACTAATTCAACTTAATGTAATTTAACTATAAATATGAATAAAAAGTAAGTTATTGTCAATATGTATCTTCTATTATTAGTATTATTAACTTCCCGTAGGGTAAGTTATTTTAATTGTCGAAAAATCGTAATTTAAAATTTTTGCATATCTTTACATTTCAGAGGTTTCTTAGCATTTTGGCACACCTTAGAAAAAATGAGTGTATGTGTGGATACATTTTTTTGCCGACGATTTTGGGCGTACGGAACAACCGTTTTGAATGATCCAAAAAAACCTTGAACTCGTAATGATAGAGAAAACTGGTGGTTTTTGACAAAGACAGGTCCAGCCGTTTTAGAGTTACAAAGCAAAATGTGCAAAAAATGGCAGAAAAGAAAAAGAATTTATTTAATTTTCATTTTTTTTTTTTGAATATCGAAAATAATTCTAATTTTAATTCTAATTGTAGCTAAAGTTCTATAAAAATCTCATATACTTACAATAATTAATTTTAACTATGAAATTCTGTTTATATAATTCTTATAAATATTAGACAATGCCTTTATTTTAAATCCAATTAATTGAGTTAAATAAAAGGCGTTGTCCAATTCGTAATCTCTTACATTTTGTCTATAAAATAAAAATAATTTAAGTTTGGCTAAATCAACACAGGAATATTGTGGAAATAAATATTTTTTTACATAAAGATCTGGTTTTTGACATTTGCATTTTATTTCAAATTAATTATAACTGTTAAAATATTTTCTTTTTGGTCGATATTTGATATAATATAATATAACATTTAGTTTGTCTAGTTTGTTTTTGTCAGATTCCAATTAGGTAGTACTATTCCATTTAAGAGGTTACAATTTCCTGTAAAATTAGCATTTCCGATGACAATCAAAATATATCTTAACTGATATACTAATAATAATATTATATTTTAATTAAACAAATTTCTTCACACTTCGATAAATAATTCCAACGCATCATAATGTTTTGTTTATTTTAATTTTGTTTGTCATTTTTTTTAATTAATGAATAAATAAAATTTTAGTCTATAATTTGTATCATTGATTGTATCTATAATTTGTTTGGCAATATTGCTTATAACATAACTTCAAATAATTAATTTATTTGTTTCTTATTGGAGTCGTTAAAAATTCATTTTTTTTTTTGAACTGTCAAAATTTTGTTTATGATTAATTTTAAATTCAATAAGTCGCTTTTTTATTGTGATCTATAATGGTTTGATGAAGTTTTGGTATCCGAAATAATTTGGTAAGCTAATCAAATAAACATAAATTATAAATTTATTTATCTAATTATTTTGATAAATATTGACAAATGACTTTTCACTTTTCATGTCAACATTTATTTAAATTCATAAACATTGATTTTTAATTAGATTTAAAACTATAAACAGTGATAAATGTTGGATATATCTGTATATGTATGTTTTTGAAAAAATCAAATGTTTTTTTCTCGAATTTTCCATAACATTTGCCATTGTAGTGTTTTGTTTCTTTTAGTCATTTTCTGTCAAAATTTTTACAAATTTATAAAAATTATATATTTATATTTTAAATTTACTTCTCAAAATTTCCTTTAACCTAAGTTGGATATATATGCACACGATGAGCCAATAAAATTTAAGATCGATTCAGTAGTTTGGGCGTCCATCGCAAACCAACATCGTGACACGAGGTTGTTCAAACTCAATTGTTTCTTCTTCCACCCAGTACAAAGGAACTATTTGTTTACCTTTTTTAAGCAATTTTTCGTATTTTTTAAAAAAGTTATTTTCATCAGAAGAATTCCGTATAGTTTTTAGTTTCGATAATACTTTTAATTGCCTTTTGTCTGAAACCCCGTCTGATAGGGTCACCGATTCTGTTTACAAGTTGGATTGCAGTGATTGCAATATGTGTTAAATTGGGGAAAGTTCCCAGTATATTTATAAGAGAGTTAATCAACATATCTGTAATTCAAAAAATCCAAACCAGTTCAAAACGATATTTTCAGATCATATGCTCAATCTCAATCACTCTTTTAACACTTCACATCCTGTTATTATTTATATCGAAAAAAAATAGTGACCTTAGAAAATTTGCTGAATCCTTTCTTATTTCATTAAATTCCTCTTGTGTTAATAAACGCAATTCATCCCACCTTTTACAATTAATTTGCTATCTCCTTTATGATAATTAATACAATTTTGTTTTTTTCTGTTCAAACTTTTATATGTTTTGCATTTTCCTTTTTGACTAAATCCATTTCAACCACTTTGGTCTGCATTTGTCCTTCGAAACATTCCCCTTCCTACTAGGCTATTAACACGCCTAGTTTAAGCATTACAGTCTAGTTTTTGGCGTGATATAGGCGTGTTTCAAGCGTCATAATGTGACATTTCATAACTTTTTTCAAAATGTTTTTAATTTTATAGTTATTCATTATTTTTTTAATTAAACTATATTGGTTTTTTATTATTGTTAAGAAAAAATTCAAATTTGTTGTAGTTGCTAAATGATGACACGCATCTGGTGTCGAAACGTATAAATAGAAGTTTTTAATACTTTTTACCTTTTTTATGTCGACGAATGGGCTGCTATTTACTTTGAAATATGTTTCAACGTCGAAAAAACTATCAAGATATATATATATATATATATATATATATATATATATAAGATTTTATAGTTACATAAAGGTAATGTTAAATTTTTATAATAATACATAAATACATAGCAATTAGCTATTATAATATTATTAATTATTATTTTAGTCCACAGACGATGCGAGTTGGGGCGGCTGCAGAGGAAACAGCCGCGGCGGCATAGGAAACAACCGCGGCGGCATAGGAAACAACCGCGGCGGCGTAGAAAACAACCGCGGCGGCGTAGAAAACAACCGCGGCGGCGTAGAAAACAACCGCGGCGGCGTAGAAAACAACCGCTGCGGTAGAGGAAACAACGGCGGCGGTAGAGGAAACACTCGTGGCGGTAGAGGACACAACGGCGGCGGTAGAGGAAACGACGGCGGCGGTAGAGGAAACAACGGCGGCGGTAGAGGAAACAACAGCGGCGGTCGCGTAAACAGACGCGGTGGCCACGGAAATTACCGCGGAGACAAACGCGGCGGCCGCGGAAGCAACCACGGTGGGCAAAGAAACCATCGCGGCGGCCAGGATAGGAACTCCAATTCCAATGGTAAATAACATCCATGGCTATACAATATGTTAAAATTAAATTTAAGTAAGATAAATTATTTGTGAAATAAAAAGATTCATATTCAAGCGTAAATTTTATTTTTGTCTATCTTGTATATTTGTATTTTTTTCAGGGGTTGTATATATATTTTCAAAATGACTTTGTTTAGCATTCTATTCTATAATAACTAATAGATTATGTGTAATTTTAAGCGCACTATATATGCTGCAAGCAAAAATGTGCCAAATAAAACCCGGCAGACCCGCGACTAACATAACCACAAGAACGATTGTTAACAATTGCAAAAAGTAGGCTGAAAACGTTGTCGAACTAATATAAAACACAACAATATTACTTTATATTCATAGTTATTTATTAATATTCATCACTAATTCAGTTATTAATAAGATAAATGTAAAAACTGTGCCAAATAAACACTGGCAGGCCCGCGACTAATTTATCAAAAAAAAACAACAACTTTCACTATGTCGATCGTTTGGAAGAACGATCTAATCACTTATTGGAGAACCTCTAATCACTTTTTTCAACTTTTCAATACAATAATTAATGAATATTCACTTTTTACCACTTTTTAATGCAATAACTGATAAATATTTGCACTATTTCAACATATCTTCGAATATATTTTGACACGGCAGATCATGTCGGTTGGTATCAATGTGCTATGACATATGTAAAAATACTTTATTGTAGGTTAAAGATTTTTATGTCAAACAATGATAATGCAAAATAAATGAAATTTAATTGAATAAATTATTATATTTTAATCATTTTCATAATGAAATTAGGTTTTAAATGTAGCCACGCCTTCGCCGATAAGCCACGCCCACGAAACTGTCAAATACCTGGGCATGCCAGTTGTGAGTCTGCAAGTTATATGCACGTTCAAAAATTTGGTTCGACCTATTTACATTTACTAAAAATACTCCTATTTATGTCATTATCAATATTATTTGTATCATAGTTGTTATTGATATTATTATTTATGAATATATCATTCTATATATTCTAATAAATGCATATTGCGGAGCATTTGGTTTTGAAGAAAATGTAAATCAGTGCCCACACTAATAAATAATCGCGCCAAAATTTAATTCTCTGTAGTTGCCAGGATCGCAATTGCATTTCGTATTTCTTTCCAGTTTTGATCGTCGCAACAGTTGCAGGTATTTGTTTAAAGATAAGTTTACGTAGTTAAATTTCAAATAAGTGAATATGGAGGTAAGTTCTCTTAAAAATGAATTTCAATTATTTAATTTAAATACTTGAAATATTTAGTTATAGTAATAACTATAACTAATATATAGTAATAAATAAATTTCAAAATTGGTACCATTATATTTGATAGTGTTCATGGGATATAGTGATTTTTAAATGCGGACACGTGCCCTCATCATGGGCTGTAAATGAGGAGAAGACTATGTAATTATGATCAGAAAATGTAGCAGGCTATAAACTAAATAAGATGCTGAAGGCGTGCGAGCCTCCTTCGTTTAGAGATTACTCTGAATTGGAGGTTAAATTTATGAGAAGCACCACCGATTATAAAAACGTGAAGAAGTATGTAAAAAGAACTCAAAATCAATCGTGTATTGAGAGCTCAGACGATAACACTCTGAGCTCTATCCCAGAAAAGGAAAAACCAGCGCAGAAAGGTATGTTATTTAATATTTTTATTACACCGAATTGAACAATATAATCTATTTTAATATATATTCAATGGAGATACAAACAAACCAAGATGAAGAAGTGGCCAGAGCTCTTTCAAAGTGATTTTGAATGAGCTGATGACTTTCGTCAAGAGAAACAAGGCATCAGCTTCACAGATTCAATCCGTGAAAAAAAAAACTAACTTTATGTTACCTATTAAGACGAATGAAGAATTACACAATTTAGAAGAAAAGCTGAAAAATATGGATATCTTCAGTGATTTGGTAAATACAAATATTTTCTATAGTTAATGTTTCTATAGTTAATATGCAATGTATTTAATAAGTTCTTATTTACAGTCGATTCAGCTAACTCTGACCGGCGGAACAAACAAGAAGCAATTGATTACATCAATGATAAAAAAATGTATGAGCAAAGACCTTACAACTTTGTTTTCAAGTGTGGGTCGAAAGGGTAAGAGAAACCCACAAAAATTCCTGTTCAATTATTTCATCCACACACATTATCTTTTTATTAGAGAGCAATAAATGGCAATCTTTATTAATTGACGAATATATTTTATATCCATTTATTTTAACAAAATCAATCTTGGAATTTTTTTATGTATGTCAATATCATTTGGATCTACATTTGATTTATCATGAATTTGTTCGAGTAGTCTGCATGATACTTATTGCAAAGGCTTTGCAGGTCCTCAATCAATCAATTTTAGTAACTATCCCAAATAACTCTCAAAATGAAAAAAATCTAAACTCTGTCGCCTTCCATTTTTCTAGATCCTTAAATCCATGAGGGTTCAAGATACAAGATATAATAGTGCGACTTAGAGCGCATGACAGACTCCGATGTTTTATCCAAGAATACAATAGTGAAATGAAAGAAAAATTTTTATCCAAGAATTCGCATGACATCGAAAAACAAGTGGTGCACATGTGGAAGACATTCCCTTTTCCGAAATTTAAAAATCGTATATATAAAAAAAATATTCAACTTGAGTTTACATGGTACAAGCAACGACATGAAAAAGCATTCTTAGATAAAATATGGATCGAAAATTTGAGCATTACAAACATTAAAACGTAACTAAAAAATATAAATGGAGTATTTTCGTTTCTAGTACAGAAATAAAATCGATTACAAAATGCGCAGTCTCTTGTATGTTCAAAAATAAATCTTATGCAACGTTAAATATGTATAGCTTTGATATAGTAGCAAAATAAAAAAATGGACTTTTATTATAGCGATAGTATGTGCTATTAGTAACTATAATTATATTATTAATGATTCATATAATTATACATTCACTTTAAAGTTATCACAAGCGTTTGTAGTTTTCCAATTGTAAGTTTAGTGAAAAACAAAGAAAATTTTATTATATCTTACCAGTTTATCCTACAAGTTACATGTGTTGATCGTTGAATATTTAAAATTAGTTAAATATAGCCTATTGCATTAAAAACTGTTAATTCTCTTCAAGAATTTCTTAATATTTGCAAATATCAATACAAATTTTTAATATCGATTTCGAGTGCGAATCGATTTTACTCTATATTAGTTTTTCTTTATATAATATCCAGGCTGCATAACATGTTTCAATTTCCTTTTTATATCAATTTAACAAACTTATACATATACATAAGTGATTTGGTAAAGATTGGGAAGAACTTTTACCAGAGATCAGTTAAGTCAGTCGAAGGTCCCAAGATTTTACAATCACAATTGAATTGGACAAATCAATCTTCACGACCTTGAATAATTTATATAAGTATTAAAATATCTTCGTTTGCCAATAGATTATAGCATTTTATACATGGTTACGATTTGCGTACAAATTAAAAAAACAATCCTCTTGATTTGAACCTTTGAGCGAATATTATTTATTGTGATGTCACTTCCTTCTTGGACTAAACTAAGGTCAGTTATACCATTTGATCCATGATTAAGAAATCCGTACAAATTAAAACTATGTTTCTGATTAATTATGCATGGCGATGAAGAATCTTGAAGCTAATACTATTTATTGTGATGGCACCTTTTCTAAATATCTCAAAATTATTAAATGTGTCAAAATTCCTTGTGTGACTGAATTATGGATATCATTTTATTTAACATTCGGTATTGATCTTCAAAGAAAAATAATCTAGTAGCCAAATAGATCCAAAATTAAATAAAAAAAAATGTTGAAGTATGAAGTATTCTTACTTTGCATCAGCATCACATTTGGTATTTGGTTAATAATGTAAATCCAGGGCGGTTTCTTTTATTTGGCCGAAAACTACTTCGAGTAGTTCACAATCATAAAGACATAAATGTCATTGACTGGATTGGAACGAACTTCTATTTGCATTTTTCAAATAGTTTGGCACAATAAAGCCATCGAATCATTGCCATCACAATGATCATTATCGATTTTTCTGTTTTGCAGAACCGGACTAGTTGTACGGACTTCGAAATGGAAGCATCAGACGTAACTGAAGCTAACGTGGAAGTTAATCCTACTGCAGGGAAGGGTAAAAAGCAAGGTAATGGTGCAGCGCAACAAAAATAAGCGCATTTTAGAGCTAGGAAGAACCACCAAGGTTCAAGGCTGAGCTCACCGCCACATTACTGAAGCGATTGAAAGTGACTGACCCGACCAATCTTTTTGCCATCAAACTACAGTCAGCAATTGTGCCTTCAAGGATTCCTATTTCGTTCAGAGCACTACCTCAGTATGTGCATGACCTTTGGTCAAGAATGAAATCTATTGGAACCCGACCGTTCGCAACTTTAGCAACTGACGAAAACTACAGAATATTTCTGAAGTGTTTTATGTTCATATACGAAGCCAAGGTAGTCTATGATCAGATGAGATGCCAACAAAAACCGGCATTCCTCTACCATCATTAGAGAAGTTCACCGAAATTCAACTGCGTGTTCTAACCTCGATATCTAAGCGACTACCATATCCACTTGTTATCTATGTGGAAGCTATTGGCAACTTTGACGCAAATGGAGCCTGTCGTTTCTGTTTTAATTGGAACTGAGCCAACTTTGGCCTCAGGCGCGTTGTCTTTTGCTCCGAGTGACATTCATCGTCTACTCAGACAGCTTGCGCAACCAACGGCAGCAGACATCATCGTCGCAGCACTGGCACAAGAAATTGATGAAGTACCTGGTATTGGTACGGGTCCGAGGAGCCGTGGACTATCAACCACCGGCCGCCGCCCACAACGCACCTCTGCCACCAACAGTTCGTGTCGACGCAGTATCAGTATCCGCTCAGACTTTAGAATTTTGGAATGGGACCATTCCTAGTCTAAGGGAGCGTAAAGTT